AGCATGATAAAGACAAAAGTTATTTTAATTTACAATTACAATTTTTTAAGCTTAACTCTACATCTTGCTATTTCAGAACGCTAAACAGATTTCATGATTTAAAAAAAAGAAAAACAAACCTTGGTATCAATTTTGTAAAATTAACATAAGCAAGTTACAGGTTTCAACAAAATTTGTCTGTGTAAGGGAACTGTTGAATCATGGCCTGAACCTCTGATTGACCACCTGAGGCGAGCACTGAGTCAGCCATGGGAGCACAGGTGAACGCAATATACCTATGTGACCAGAAAGGGTGGAGCCTGGCTGCACCTCTCCTAGGCTCCATTTAAAGCTGACTACCAGTGAGGAAGGATCTCTCCCTGAAGATCACTCCTCCTGGAGTTTTTTTCCTGCGAGCTCAGAACATGGGTAATCTTTTCCATTCACTTCTGATTATCCCTTTCCAACATGATAATCTTTACAGCTATACGCTCTCTGAAGACCAGCCTAACTTCCCTGCGTATCTGTTAATTATACATCTGTATACTCGATTATGCATCTAGGAATGAGGAAAGAACTAACAGAGATAACACCAAGATATAAAATATTTGTTACAGAAGTAGGAACTGCACTTCAATGCTATGTACCCACACAGCCAAACAAAGCTTAGTTACTTCCCAGCCTGATGTGGATTTTGATATGTCTTATTAAAAATAACTTGAGAATGTTACCTTCAGTTTGAAGGGCTAATAAGTGGATTTGGGTCAACATCTTTTCTCATTTCATAACCGTATTAAAATATCTTTCAATTTGGCTTGACCAGACTGTGACCCAGGGACTTTGCTTCAGCTCAGATGAGAAGCAAATGGTGGAATGAATGGGCAGGAAGACCTGAAGCATCAGTTCATACAAGGAACCCTGGTGTTGCTTGCAGACAAGTCCTTGCAATACTTTGATGTAAGAGTTATGTTTTACCTATAGAGATGCATGTAGATGGGTCATAACCATAAAGCTCTCGCTATTACTTATGATCCCTCACCCCAAATTCAAGGCAAAATTCCTGTTTCACAGGGAATGAAATGTACTCGGTCAAGTCAGGAATTCTGGCCAGTCAAAGGCAGGGCTGGGAGTAGAGCTACAGAGTGAGATCCTAGAGAGCCAGCCCTGCTGCAAGGTTGAGCCATGGCAGCCAGAAGCAGCTGGAACCTCTCACCCATCATGTTTGTCCAAGCTCTGATCCTGCCTCGGTAAGCACCTGTGAAGTCACTCCCTAGTTACACTTTACAACTGAAATCAGACCTCTGTGCCAGGTGTGGGAGCCCTGGCCAGCACCTCTGAGTCCTCTGTGCTTTTGCTTTTTGTTTTCCCCACACAGGAAAAAAGGACATGCTGAGGGCCAGCCACAAAGCTTGCAGGCTGCTGCCTTGTGAGCTGTTCAGGACTGAGAAGAAATGGATGCTAACTCTCAGCACAGTCAGGTGAACAGAAATTAAAGCTGGCACAGACAGCTCAGTGCGACAGTAGAGTGGGGTGACAGAGGCAGAGCTCAGCCCCCAGAGTAGGCAGTGTCCTGCAGTTTCCTCACCTGCTCACCTCCTAGAAATGTAAATCTAGGTACACACATCTTACAACGCAGGGCCAGTGCTCCAACTATGCATTTTTTCTGCTCCTTTTCTACCTCAGTGGCCTTGACACTATGTCTGAGCTAGGTATGATTTTTTTTTATAAAAAAAAAAAAAAAAAAGACAAAGAACAAAAAACAACTTTGCTCATCTGTCAAATCTCATTGCCTGACATCAAGGAGATCAACCTGCCTTCCTAAAGCACAACTCCTAGCTCTTTCGAGAGACTTCCTTTTTCAGACATTGGTCTCCTAAGCTCCTCTCCACAGCCTGTCTCCCCTGCTGTATCCTTCAACAGATATTTTCAAATCAGAACAGACAGCCCATATAGGCTGACATGCTTTTTCCAGCGCTCGCTGCTCACGTCTGAGCACTGCAACCAATCTGCCTGCGCTTCCAGGCAGCACCGCAGTGGCAGCAGGGACAAGAGGTGTCTGCTACACGTGTACAGGTATGCACTTGGAGAGGACCATTTTTCTGCAGTCAGTAAAAATGACATGGGTGAGGAAGCTCATAAACATTATTGCCATAACTTTGAGCACCAAGACTAAAAGGATTTTATGGCAAAAAAAAAAAAAAAAAAAAAAAAAAGTAGTAAAAGGAAACAACAAAAAAGAGAGAAAAAGCCCCACCAAAAAAAAAAAAAAATTTAAAAAATCCAGACATTATTAGACTCTATCTTGCCTTTTGGAGATTTTCCTGTAGAAAGAAAACACGTTCAAGCATGAGTGCATGACCTACTCTCTCAAACACAAAATTCTCAGAAACATCATCCATAGATAATCCTTCCCCACCTAAGGTGAAGTCAGTCAGTTCTGCATGCATGATGCTGCTTTAACCTTAGAAAGCAGTTGAAATAAAACAAATATGGTGAAGCTCCAACACTATACAGCTATTTTTACTTCCAGGAGATACCCATAGGGAGAAACCCACAGGGAGTTTCAAGTGACAAGATGGTGACCTGAAACAGCTCTCCTCCACTCTTCCTCAGCCTATTTTCCTTCCACATGGGATATGTAAAACAACACCTTAGTTACATCAGCCTAAGCTAAAAGCACGTTTAAAATCAATTCATGTAACGCACAGCCTTTACTCGAGGGCAGAATCCAGAATCAGAATATTTATTACTGAGCTGTAAAGCTGTGTTTTTGCAGCCTTTGTCAGAAAGGCGTTGTTAGAATGCCAATAGGGATGTCAGACTCCATCTGTAGACCTCAGGCCAGAAAAGGATGTGAGCACATACCAGCTTTAGCCCCACTGACTTAAAAGATAGTTAAGCACATATTTTACACCCTGTCATGAGCAGGAACTGTACAGCCACCTTAGCTGCAAGGGAAATACACACTGCAAAGGACGGTTACAGCCCTTCTCATAATCTGAGCGCCAATCAACAGGAAAGCAAAGGAAGTGGACAGCAGCAAACAGTGGGACATAATGCAGAGTGCTCCATTAAGGCTCTTTTATAAGCCTATTCCCACTGCCCCCTCCCCCAAGCCAAACATATGAAGGAAGATGTTTCACATCAAGGAGCACCCCAGACATCAGCCACCTTATTGCAGGCTTCAGTCAGTCCTACTGGGTGCAGTACTCCACAGGCCCATCCTCAGGAACCTGCATCCTGCTGCATGCCATACAGCCCCTCTTGCTCCTGTCTTTGCAAGTCCCTGGAGAGACCTCAGAGCAGATGATGGGAGTTGCAGGAAGAGACACTGAGGACGCAAAAGAATAAGAAGCAGAGGAACAGGCAGCACTCAAAGCACACACCTGGAACCACTGCTCCAGAGGCAGCTGGTTAGTTTTATTTCTGGAGAGATGCTGACTCTCAGTGAGATGCAGCCTCTCTCAGGTACCACCAGGTTCCCACCTGCCTCAGCCTACACAGCATTCACTGTGCTTCTACTAACCAACCATGCAGGTACTCTGCAGCGACCTCTTAGCAGCAGGCACACTGAGGCTGTGAATTTCAAAAGACAATAACCTTAATTAGCACAAGAGAAAGGTAGATCTTCAGGGGGAAAAGAAGAAAAAAAAAGGAAGAAAGAAAAACCCCACGACACTATTATTCCCTAATTACTTTGAAAAGCTCCTTCAGTTCAGCACAGAACAGCCTCAGCTGCTCAAGATCTCCAACCTTTTTCTTACTAATCTTATTTGCTCAAATCACAGTGAGGTCCATTCTCCTGTTACAAGACAGCTTCCTTTGGCCTCGAAGCACCTAACAGATAACACAGCTCTTCAGGCACCACAAGTCTTTTTCTCTCCTCCTTTCATGCTCAAATTTCAGCACCCTATCACAGATTTGTTTTCCTGCCGAGAGCCTTCTGGTCTCCTTCTGGTCTACCCCTTCCCTCAGGCGGAGCCTCCAAACAACAATTAACACTTTTTCAAGTCTTTTCCACACCGAACTACTTTCTGGATGTCCTCTTTTGATTTGTTTTTGTTTTCTTCTCAGATAGGCAAAGGTAACAGCAAAGACTCATTTCTTACAGAGCAACTGCCCCAACTGTCACAGAAACATGTCTTCCCCTTAAGATGTGAAACCAGAAAGAATAAACACGATACATATATCCAATGTAATTACGCACAGCCGTTTCTGAAAAAGGAAACGCGAGTACCACAAAATCCTAGCAACCAAACGTGGATCTCTTGAAAACTCATCAGCTTCTCAGGAATAAGCACGAGAACCACACCAGAAAACACCAGATGCGTTATTAGTAGTATCTTCACAACAGCAAAAGTATTAAAGTGCCACATTGTTTACAACGCAAAACTGAAATTTTAATTTTAATCAGCCCTGTTTACCCAGCAACACTGTGATTAGCAGAGCTGATTGAACAGTTGAGGGGAAAAAAAGAGGAAAAAAAAAAAGAAATGCCACATAGAAGACTGCACCGAGCTGCACAACCAACTGAAGAACACAGCAAACCACGGAGCAAAGCAGAACACCACCGAAGGGATGATCTGAACGCTTTTTGTTCCCCCTCGTTCGGTGCGAGGAGCCCTACAGAACTGGAGTACGCGTCAGGTGAAAGCAGTGAAGGACCGGGGAGGTGAGAACACAGAGTGGGAAAACCCAGGAAAGAGCGGGCAACTGTTTCTTTACGATGCGTATTTGGTGGCTGAAGCACATTACTTTCACTCCCTTCAGGGCACCGTTGGTTAAGAGCACTGTAAATAACGCTAACAACTAAAAATCCAGCGCACCGAGCTCGATTTTTTGTCTCACGTTTAGATGAGAGGGAGCACGCGGACAAAGGCCTGATTTTCCAGCGCAAGCTTCAACAAGCCCAAGAAAGAAACAGCAACTCTCCAACCCAACTCCTCTAAAAAGTACAAAACTCCGGTAAAAGCACAGAACAAGCCCCAAACTCACCGCCTGTCACCCTTTGTCACCCTTACCTCCATGTAGCGCTGCCTCCCTGCTGCAAGACTCGCTCCTCGCCGGCCGTAGCAGACGCCCTCCCCGCGGCGCGCCTCCATCTTATGCCACGAGCTCCGCACGCGCTCACCTCATCAGCTCCTCCCAGGTGCGGCCAAGCCCAGCCTGATCGCTGCTGCAGGCCGAGCAGCTGAAGACCCCGTGCCTCGTCACGCTTCACCTGCGCCAAGTCTCCCAGCCCCCCGCTTCAGAATTTTTACTTTTTGCTTGTTCTCAGCAAAGTTAAAACTCCTGCAAGACTTTTTTCAGCAGCTGATGAACTACCGCAGGTTCCTGAGTTGCATGTAGAGCTTTCGGTCTGAGTGATGCACCAGAGGAGCTTTCACTGGCAGTTTTTATATGCTGTTTTAGAAATTGGAATGATTATGCTGGTCACAGTATAATTTTTGTTCTGTATGTGAAGATATTCCTCGTTTACAAAGCTGCAAAATGCTCAGTGTTCAGAGCTCCAAGGGCAACTGTTACACTGTCAAAATGCCCACCCTTGAAACCACAGTCAAAGTGCTTCCCAGAGTCTCCTGTCAGCTTCCTGCACCGTATTTTTGAAACTGCCCCCTACCAAAACCTCAGTCTGGCTGCCCGCCTTTCCTCTGGAGAGGTGGTTTTCCATAGCCATGCTGGTGGTAGCCAGGTCTGGTCCTGTGAGGCCCTGTATTGGTGAAACATTGGGCTCAAAGGAAAGTGGCTGGTGATTCAAAATGGAGCCAGGGTTAACAGAAACGTGATCAATTCCAGAAAGGGAAATCCTGCACCAGGAACAGAATAACTTCATGTAAGAGGACTGGCTGGGTGCACAATGGATGGAAGGCTCCTGGGTAGACAAGGACCAAGGTGGTCAAGATGACCAAATGCCTTTGCAACAGAGAAGGCTAATCACATAACAAGCTCTACTCAGAAGCACAGAGCCAGCAGGTTGACACAAGTGAGTATTCCTGCTCCTCAACTTTTTTTTTTTTTTTTTTTTTTTTTTTAAAGACCACATCTGGAGTCGTGTAGCCTCTGTGCTCCCCAGACAGCGAGGAAGATGGTGAAGAAGTGGAGCATGTAATGTGTGAGACAGAATGAGAGCGGCATTCATTCAGCCCGCAGAGTAAAAGGTTGAAGGTGAAGGGAACCCAGCTTCTGACTTGAGCTACCTAACACATGGTTATGGATAGGAAGTCTCACCTTTTTCAGGTAGGTATTGCAAAAGGATGAAAGACAAGAGATGTAAGCAGTAGCAGCAGAAATTCTGACTAAAGAAAAAAAAAAAAAAAAAAAAAGCACAGTGTGGAGCAAGCACTTGGAATGGGTGACCAGAAAGGCTGCAGAATCCCCACACTTGAAGACATGCAAAAGTCAACAGGACAAGCCCTGAACAGCTGGTTTTCACTGATTGCCAGCCGGGATTTCATCAACAGTAGGACTAAATGGCCTCTAATTGCCTTTCCATCCCATGCAGTTCCATTTGTCTTGAACCTGAGCTTCAGGAGCAGAAATGTGTTTACTGTATTTGATGATTTTCATTGTTTGCTCTGGTAATTGACATTATTCTTTATCTGGAAGGCAAAGTGTTATCTCCTGGACTATTAAAAAAAAAAAAAAAAGACAAGAGATTTCTAGGCACACCTACAAACACTAAGGGTCAAATTTTGAGGATTTGTTCTAAAACATTAACCTCAGGCTAAGCACATGTTGTCTCAAGTGTGCGTGTGGATTTAATAGAAAGGAAAAGAAGTTGCTCTGGAAGTTAGAGCTCCCACTTGCTAGTCTGAATCAACTGAAAATTACCCTGACACGATATATTTGTGGCCCTACTAGACTAAAAACAGTGATTGGAAGAAATATAAAAATCCTACTGTACTCTCCAGAACTGTTCTTTTGTTATACAAGAACAGGAAAGTCCGATGTGTGCATCATTATAAAACCAGTGCATTCCTAGAAACACTTGAACTTTGGTTGAAACACCCCTTGAATTTTTATGTACATTTTCCATTCTCATTATCCAAGGCCTTACATAACAATGTTTAAATTAACCAGAATCACAATACGAACATATTCTAAGTCTGAACCTAGATCTATGAAGAAAACAGTGATTTTACTGCCAAAACCAAAATCTTGCAGCTTCTCTCCCCTCTGTCTTATTGTCAGAACAGTATAAGTAAAAATGCTTCTAGTTCCAATTCAGACTAAAGACAAAGATGTGCCCGAGCTGTTTTAGTGATATTTTATTAATGTAATGTTTCATTTTTCACCCTCACCCTCCACATATGTGCAAATTTCTTCTGGCAATGAGCCACAGAACAATTCTGAGGTGGAAAGCAGTTGTATAGACAAAAAAAAGAGAATATCAGAAATTACGTTATAAATGGGCAAATCTTATAATACATTACAGTGCTCCCTTTAGTAGCCAAATGTTTCACGAACATTACACTTTATGCAATATCACAAACACACAAAATATGCTTTGCATATGATTGCAAAAGCAGAAGCACTCTGGAACCAAGCACATGGCTTAAAATTATAATAACGAGTCTACTTCAATGTAGTAGATTTTAATAAGACTTTAATAATACTGGTATGAAGCCAAATTGCATAACGTCCCAAAATATGAAACAAAGCTTTTTCAGAGAAAATAGAAGCTCACTGAAGTATAACCACATTTCAGAAGAAAAAAAAAAATCTAAAACAAAGCCATTAGGCATATTTAATTTGAAAAAAATCAAATTAGAGAAAATGAACACAAAATATATTCCCAGATCTCAAAATAAAATTAAAAAGGATATTATTTTAGGCAACATTTAAGAAATGAAAGTACTATGCCAGCACTGAGAAACAAGCTAACACCATAATAATTACCTCTTTTGGCTCAGATGTGGATATGGGTTGAGTATCTCCAATTTCTCTCAAAGGGCAAAAAATGATTGAGTTATCTTACAGGTTAATTTTAAGACTGAATTGTATTGGATCGTCTAGAATGAACTTAGACCAATCAACTAATTTCCTTCTATACCTGAAAACCAACTCCAAATAGGTGTCCCAAAAGTAAGAGAGAAATGATATACTCCCTCTAACCCCTTCCATTCTGGAGTCTTGGTGGAAAAAAAAAAAGAATTGAAAGGTCTCTAAAGCTTGCTCCAGCATCGACCATTCTCAGAACAATTTCCTGTCTCACCACTGCACAAGTATAAAAGTATTAGATAGCAGTTAATAGAAAAATCAACTTCCTTTTGTTGGGTAACACATGTAAAATACAATATATACTTTAATCTGTATAACCTTTTAAAACACTAGTGTTATGCAAGTTAGAAGATTGGTATTTGTATGGATAACACATTTTGTCATTTATTAGGATCAGCTATTTAGATCCACACATCCAATAGAGAGATCAACATATATTAGCATATTTGAATGTACTACTGGTTACTATAAGAACTGCTGTTTAACTGACTCTAACTCAGTGCTGACAGCCAATCAGAGCATGTGGTGATGAATGCAGCAAGAACCAGAACAGTTTTCTGTACAGGGATTATATTGTCTCATCTACATTCCTAGACTTTTAAAGCAGATTTGATAAAGGCATTAAAAATTTTAAGTTGATTTAGATTCCACATGACAAGATGAAGTGAGAGGAACATTTTATGCCTTACATTTCTTAGAAGTCTACTTTACTGTAGAAGCCATTAAAAAGTTGCAAGTAACTTCAAGATGAAAGGCATTAGCAGCTTTTTAGAGAAGGATAATCACAGTCTTCTAGAGATATAATGGGACTTAATTCACAGAAGTTTTTGACTTGGTCTGCTGTTAATTGAATCAAAGTCGATGATGATCTTGTTACATTTTGGCTTGAATTCCCTAAAATAAAGAAAAATACAGATATTAGTTAGTGAGTAGTTAAAACATTTTGCTTGCTTTAGCTCCAGCCGCATTTTTGACGGCAAAAACCCTCCTTGGGTTCACATAGTTTTCATCTCTGTGGGAGCCAATTATAGTGCACCACACTGCGAGAAACCTGGACAAGAAAGAGTAAGACAAAAAAAGACACATGAGGAGGGTCAGCCTGTACATTCTTCGGCTATTGGAGTTCATAAATTACCCAGGAGTCAAAGAAGTTTTAACAACTTAGCTGCAGGCGGTAGCATCATGCTACCAAAGCTGGGATTTTTTTTTCAAATATTTCATACATACATGTATGTATACACACACACACACACGTATTTTCATATACTATATATATGTATACATGCATAGGTATATCTGTATGTGTATACACAAAATATCTGAAATGTATTTTGACAAATATTTTGATGGCTTTTTTTCCCTACCACGTCTTCAAAGAACATTTTCAAACTTTGCCTCTGTGTATTATTATTATTATTTTTTTTTTTTTTTGCTAGGGGAATAGATCACATTATGTACTGTATTGGGGAAAAAACCAAACTAGTTAAGAGGGAATAATTTAAAAATTGTAACTTTAAAACTATAAAATTAATACAGCCACAAATCGTTTCCTTTTATTATCATTAGAGCATCTGCTACAGCAATTAGCAAGGAAGGTATTTGGGGACTGAGCATATATTTTCCAGTCTACCAGTAAACAAAGGATTATGCAAATAGTGTGGATTTAGTGCCTAATTAAGCTCTGCAATTCAGTTCAAGAGATTCATTAAATACCACCTACATCTTTAATAATCAATACAAGAATAAAGAACAGTCAACACAGGAAAGCTCATGCTGCTGGGCACAGAAACTGACAGTCTATAATGTACTTTGTCCAGAACAGCAGTCTGAAATACAAGAAACACTTCTCACCCTGGAGAAGTTATAAGATTTGACTTGCAAGGGAATGATTTATGCTTCTTAGTCAAACAGTCTTAGTAGGCACAAAATACACTGAAGAACTAAAACTGAATTTCAAGTACGGCTATATTTTTTCATGGATGTTTCTCAACCCAGTAGGTACCTTTCATCATAAGATTTTATCTGTCAGAATTGTTATGTTTGCAAATTTTTCGAAGTCTTTATATTAATACTGTAAAACTTTTCAGAGTTGCAATGCCTTCCTGACCAGATAATTAGCTTCACCCACAGCATGTTATTGCTATCAAACTAGCTGTTGAACAGATTGTCTTTAGGTATCTCTGCCAGTGTCTTCAAAAACTATTCTTCAAACATTTTTCAGTTTCTCATTACTTTAAGGCAAATATTCCAGATTTTATACTTTTCTCACAAGAAATGCTGACCAAAGAAGATTGGACAGCTATAGGCACCAAGAATTAATTGCAGGTGGCTGATCTGATACCTGCCCAAATTGACTGCAACAAGAAGATACTGAACTTTCAATAGGTATCGTCAGGTCATCCTTGTAAAGTAAGTTAGTCATTTCAGTTACACACACAGGATAATTCTTGTGGTAAGGGACTCTAAGAACTCAATGGGAAGTCTAAACTACTCAAACCAAGGTCAGCAATGATTCTCCAAGTAAAACATAACAAACAAACTATCATATTCACAATTTCGCTGGCAAATGAAGAGAAATTTTCTTAAAAAAAAAAAAAAAAAAGGCCAGGAATGAAAAGGAATACTCCAATTGTGTGGGTTTGTTTTTTTTTTCATACAAACATTATGAAATTGAACTTAGGCAACACATATGGGAAAGACAATGTTGCAACTGTCTGTCAACCCAGTATCTTTCACAGGTATACAGAGCAAGCCTGCTATCAGCGAATAAAAAGTTGTACAATGCAGAAGACGACACTTTTGCCTGAAAGTTGGCCTTTTCCACAATTTTCTTCCTTTCTGAAATAAAAACAAAGTTAAATGTAAGCTCTCTTACCTGTATACAATACCAGCTAAATCAAACATCCGCCGTGCAGCCGTCATTTCAATAGAGTCATGATACTTGTCAGACATATAAATCACTTCCTTTATGCCTAGAAAGGTCATTAAAAAAAAAATGGAATTCCATGGGAAAATAAAAAGTAATGACATAAAAACTGGTACACAAAATCAGAAAAGACAGCACTCACCCACATACTTTAGAACTCTAAGCAGAAGTGAACCATAGAGTTTGTACATGAAAATAAGTCTGTGTAAGGTAAAGCTGTTTGGGAAGGCATTTTTCTCAGACCATTAGAAAGTGTTTTCCCTGATTTCACCTAAGTTCACATCAGAAGACCAGATCCAAAACCTTGCAGGGAAAACCTCAAGGCAGATGGAGTAGGAATAAAGCATTTTTGCAAAAAGCTGTTGAAAACTTGTCCCGTTACCTAACATAGATGAAATTCCTCCCAAAGAACCCCAAATCTCAATCTCCTTCCAAACACACAGCTATAAAAGGATGCTTTTTTCTTCTCCATTCAATAAGTAACTTTCAGTTCCAAGTTTCATAAGCACATATTGCCTCAAACTGTGGAATGACGACACACACAAATTAACAATTTGTGCCCTACTTACAGTAGAAATATAAAGGCTGACTCAAGAGACATTTCAGACCTAACATCATCTTCCTGTATTTACCAGGTAACATAAATATCAGTGCTATTTTCTGCTGACCTCAGTGCATAAGGAAAAGGACGAGTGACTACACCAAGAACAAGCAGCAAGTCTACCTTTGAAGACCACTTGATTTTTATTCTGTAAATAAGAGAAATGCAACACAAAAAATGTCACTTTCCACCTTCACCCCTCTTCACTTCAAGCCTTACAGACCAAAAAAAGTACTCCCTTTAGCTGCATTTTTTTCTTATTTTGCTCTTTCTGACGCCCATTATGGCAAGAGGAAGTCCTCAGAATAGCAATGCATGCTAAGACTGCAAGACTTTACTCAACGCACAAAACATAAGCTTTGCTTAAGCAGAGATGTTCATTGGAACGGTGGCCTACTGCAGGTGCCTGATCTGAAAAAAAGGCAACACATTTAGGCCAGCACACTTTCTGCAGTGGCACAGATTTATAACAATTGTAATAAAAGACATAATTAAAGTAGGATCATAGCAATCTTGTGACATTTATGAGCAAAGATATTTTAAAATCTTCAAATATCTACTATGCATCACGTTCAAATTAAAATTTCATGTATATACTCCCAACAGACCTTTTGTCATGGCAGAAGTTTATTTCTTTCTGCCCTACTCTATTCAGTGTCAGAGCACAGTAAAATTGACAGTAATTATATGCAAAGCCTGTGTTGTTCTTTGGCAGCTCCTGGTCTAAGAAGTTACAAACCTAAATTAGAAGCACGCTTAGAATCACAGAAGATGCAATTAGCACTGGAAAAATTTGGCACCATTCAGATGCAAAAAAACCCAAAAAAACAAAAAAAAACAACCCCAACCCACAAGTAGCATCTTATGAAGTTGACAGTGCAATTAATTTAGATCTAACAGCAGCAATTTAACATCAGATACATCCATGATACTGATGAGAAAGCAGCACTGCAACACTGACGAATCAGGCTGGCAGTACTCCTTACCTGCCTGGATGATGAGCTTTGCACATTCATTACATGGAAATAAGGCAACATACATGCTGCACCCTTTCACATCGGCTGAGTTTTTGTTCATGATGGCATTCAGTTCAGCATGGCACACTGATTGGAAAAAAAAACCAACAGAACGACAATTCATAATATCATTCATTAAAATAAATCAGTCAAACTAAAATTAAAGTGTTACATCCTTTCAAAGGCAAATAGCTTGCACAGCTTGTCATAAAGTGTAGAGGAAGAAATAAAAGCAGAAATACCAAGATCAATGAAGGTCAATTGTTCTGACCAGGCTGCTGATTAGTAATGATATCATTAAGCACATTAGCATTGCCATTTGCTAACACCTATAGCAGGCAACAAAGCCGTAGGCTGTGGGCCAAGTAGTTGCAACCACCCTAAGTGAAGCAATATCTCACAGCTTCACAACTCTCTGGAGTATCTAATTGCCAGTATAAAACAGCTCATTTATGTGTTTACATGCACAGATAGGAACATTCTTATGGTTATTAAGAGCACACTATGCGCTCTTAAAGGCAGGAGAATCATGAAGTAAAACTGAGCAGCTCTGTCCTCTGGGTCCCAGAACTGCTCAGTACTGCTGCATGATTCTCTCACCCCAAGAATACACAAGACACACTCAACCATAAAAACGTCCCAGCTTTAATATTAAAGCAAGTTTACTGCTCATTAAAAGGTGCCAGACTTCCCAAGCAAGAAAGCAAAGTCCTCTATTTCTCCATGGATTTGAGATAGGCCAGGTAACAACAGACAACTCTGCCTTATTCCTCCATTACACAACAGCTCTTCTGGTCAGATGGCGACTGAGGGTTCAACTTGTTATGCTCTACACATCAGTACAGCATGGAACGTGTTTCAGACAAAGGAGAAGAGAGCTCAGTTTAGGTCATCCACCATGAACCTCTGAAGAAAACCATTAGGAAACAGGATCTGTGCTACAACTTTCTGTTTACACCTAGGAATGTCAGCAAGTTGCAGGACGCATTTATCTGTCTACTGAGAAACTGTCTGGTGCCATGACAGACGTTGTAAACAGGCACTCAAGTGTGGCTCTGAGCTTGGCCAGAGACCTGTATGTACAAGTAACACCAAGCACAGGTTTTGAAGAACAGATTAAAAAGAAACAGAAGAAAAAAAAAGGAAAAAAAGTCTTCCTCTCATATATGGGAAAATTAAAACAGGGAAAGTTATGAGCACAAGTTCATAATATAGTTGCAACTATACACAGACCCCTGTGTGCATGATCTTGCCACACAAAGAATAACTGAGTGCTGCACTTTCAGCATGCAGGAATCCTTATTGAATGGAAATGTTTTCCGTATGTGCTAAAGGTCTACATGGAATGTCTATGTAACAGCTAACGTGCTATAAATTTACAGCCTAATATACAGCCTAATATATAACCTAATAAACTTTCCCATGTAGGCAAGTCACTAAGGAACAAACACTTACTAAAGAAAGCTCAGTATCAACTTAGACAAGCTGCCCCCAGAATCACTATAATTACACTGTTCACATATCTTCTCATAAAAAGAAAAGCCAGAAACCAACGTAAAAATAGAAAAGTAATAACAGCAAAGGAAAAAATAAACCGTTTGTTACTATTATTTCTACTACTGTGATAATTGCATCACACTGTATTTTAGACTTGTACCATCAATTACACAAGATATAAAAGTATAGCAACTTTTAAACTTTGAAAACCCAGAAAACACTTTTAACTTCAAATATATTACTCAGTTACATTAATTTTATACAGCCTTCAAAGGAATAGCCACAGAATTATTCTTCTGGGGTTACAGAAGAGTAAGGGTAAAACAGCACCTGGAACTTGGGTTTGGTGACTAGACAGAGCCATCCCTTTCCAGCTTCTTTGAACAACGGGCTTATATTCCAGGCAGTTGTCTCAAAGGCCTCCACAAAAGAAAGAAGGATGACAGAATGTTTTCAAAGGCTCACAGAAGTAAATAAATAAATAACCACTTAATTCCTTCAGCAAATATTTCTACTTAACTAAAACTTAGAAGTCCTCAGCCACAAACACAGACACATTTCAGTGTTAGTACCACTATAACTTTCCTCCTGCACTGATGAGAAATAGCCTTTTAGAAACTACAGACTTCCAGACTTTCAACAACAAACCTCTTCCAAGCAAAAACAATTTCAGGGCAAAAATAACTTATAAAGATAATCAGCCGGAGTGAGGGAGGGAGATATTTTGCCTCCTGTCTATCTTAAGACAATTTGAAGTTAAAAACAACTACAACTCTCCAGAGTGAAAAGAGAGACAAAGACGACACAGAGATGATAATATGAAAGAAGCAATCATCTCGAGACAAAAAGCATTGGAATCTCCAGTAAAGCCAACAGGATTTAGTTTTAAAAACCAGAAGAGGTGAACTTTTCATGCACACTGTAGCTCAACCAAATATTCCTTAAAGCACGAAGTAGTAGGAGACTAAAGATTCGCACTGATTAAAGGAGTCCTTCCTTCCAGTACTTTTTACACCCCTTGTTTACTGGGCTATTAATTACAAAACCATTCTGGCTCAATAGTTTGAACTTGGAAAACTATTCTGGGGGATCTATTATTTTCTGTGTCTTTGTTTTATACATTTCCCTAGACACCTGCTATTGGCACCTGTAAGAGATAGTAGGTTAGACGGTCCATAATAAGGTACAGGCATCAGACAGATATTTTCAGGTTTTGTCCCATAGGTCTTCACTCCCTCTTCCTCATTCTTCTTTCTCTAGCAAATAGGCATTTACTGTTGATCCATTTATAAATAAAAAAGTTGTATGGATAACAGATTACTTTACAGACCTGACCAACTTTGTAGAGAGTATTACTTAAAGAGACAAAAGTCAAATCCAGATTTCAAAATCCCTAACTGTAATGACAAGAGTAGTTCCCATTTAAGGTGACACAAAGTTTTCTAAACCATTAAGAGCTCCAGCTCTTAATTAGCAAAATATTGTTCCCTCTCAGTAAGACACTAAAAGAAACCTTGCACAGGTTCATAGTGTTCAGAAATCTGAAAGCTGTTTATTTAAGCAGGCCATTAGAACTAAAATTTTTGCAATACCCCCTGGGGACCCCCAGTTGTTTAGTATTATTTTTTTAAATAATATTCACATATAGTTAACGTTATATTAGGTCTATTAGGTCTTGAAGATTGGTTTCTATGCTGGAAAAGTGGCTTGAAAAGTATTCTCTAAAGACTTCATTAGCTGAAGAAACAATCATGCAGTAACACAGTGTGTCCTGTGACATTTCCTTCACCTAATACAATGTGCATGAGAGGGGGGAAAAAATAGGACCGATTAATTTCTGGTAGTATTAATTCCTACTTGTATTTCTATCTTTTCTTGCTGCATATCACTTTTATTGCATATTAGGTAATGCTCATCCTTAAACCTACCCACAAATAAGAACCCCCCCTCTCTCCCCACTCACCCTACTGACAGTCATTTTTCAGTATTAAACACTCACCATGAATACGTTCTTCCTGACTCACAGTGTTCAGAACCACTCTTTCCACCTTCTAAGACTGTTCTGATCAGTGATTTTATAAGAACCACTACAATTACCCAAAATGTTTATTAATACTGTGAAAAGGCTTATGAGGCTTGATGAAGAGCTTGGAGTATGGACCATTGTAACATGTTATATTTTAAACAGAAATCAAAGCAAAGATTCTAGGAAGCGACCTTTCTGTGTAGCTAATTACTCACAAAAACAGACCAAGAATTTGGAGACTTCACGCACTAAATATGGTGTCACATTTAAAGGAAATACATTTCAATGCATACAGTGTCACGCAACATGTTCTGACTTATTTGTTAACGTAAGATTTTCTACTGCCACCTTAACCAACTTGACAAACCCAGAACAAATGTATGGTACTGGCAAGGTGTTCTGCAACATAAAGCTGGCACAAAAACGCATACGGGGAGTTATGTAATTTCACCCTCTTCTTTTCAGTCCTTTGGTAAAATCTTCACCTTGTTTTTGCCCCTTGTCCATCCCAACTTAGTCCAAGCTCTACTTGCCTGCTACCCTCTACTCACTGCACCAATGCTGGACACAGCAAGGATGCAGAAGGCACTGAGGAATTACTGAAAAGCACCAGCTCTGGAGTGACAGCGCCTGGGGACTGTGGTTCAAACTATAGAACAATGCTAATTTTATTTCAACCTTTGTGAAAGTGTGGGGGGTGGATGCTGCTCACTACACTAGTGGAAGATAGAACACTGATGTTGGGTTGATGCTGCTTACAGCTATTTCTGCTGGCTCCTTCCTGCTTTTTTGCTGTGGTCGGGGCAAGAAGGCAATGTTAACATGAACCAGATTTCATCGGAGCCTTAGCCTTTTCAGACTGCGGTCAGGAAGAGGGAACAGCCCCATCTAACTAATTTGTTCTGTTAAAAGAGGAGAACTGGGAAGTGAATATGGGGACTACCCAGCTCATTTATGACCAGCACATTAAATCTGCTGGGAGCAGGCAGGGAAGCCTTTTGCAGAACCTGAAAAGCAGTAGCTAATCCAATCCATTCTTACCATAGTGCTCCAAGATTGCACTAATGTCAACAGAGCACAGGGCTGTTTCTTAAGTGGCAAGTAGAATAAGAGAAATTATTTCAAAGTTCCCAAATTTCTTAGACATTTTGGTGTACGACGCTAGAATTAGAAAGAAATCCAGGGAGGACAAGAGAGTGAGAGGCTGTAGGTGGAGAGCATCTCCTATAGATCCCCATTCCAGTTGAAGCCTCGGCTTTGCACTGCCAGTTGGAGAGAGTGCATCACACTTCTTCATAGTGCCTTATCAAGTTTTATGCTGTCAAAATAACAGCTTCTACAGAAGTAACATTTGCCTGAATATCTTCAAGCGTTCATCTCTTTAAAAAAATTGATGAAAAGCTCATAATCCTAACACAACAAAATGTTGCTAACAGTTTGTTTCATTTTACACAGCAGGTACTGTTCAATTAGAGTATACTTTCTGCCACAGCACATATTTTATCGTATCTGAACCTGTATAAATATTTGTAAGCATATTTACTCAGTATTTTCTCTATTGCTTAGAGGTTTCTATATTTGCCAGTCATTTTAATTTAAAACCCTCTTAATTAGAGACTGGTTGTCAAATAGATGTTCTTAGATTACAGTGGAGACAGAGGGCGTAACAGGAGCATAGCAACTAGCATCAATAGTAAGACATTAATAGGAGAAAAATGTAGTATTTTAAAAGATCAGTGAGAAGAAATAATGCATCATCAAAGCTTTGCATTCATCTAACAGCACAGGGGGCACTCACTTTTGACTCCAAGCACCAGAATTTTGTGTAATTATTCAGAAATTCCCGTACACTGTATTGAGCACAAAGCTTTAGGAAGAGCTTTTAATAACATCTCAGTGAAGTGGGTGTTCAAAACTAGCTTTCTATTTCTCTGAGGTGCACAGAAACATCCCCATTTCTGTCGCTGACTGGCAGCCTGGAAAGAACCAGTTCCCACAAAGCAACAAAAAGCAGCTTGATTTTCTGCTAAGAAAAACAGCGTTCAGCAAAACATTACCTACTTTCTAAAGTAACAAAGCTATACTACTAACCTGTTCAAGTATATTGCACAGCTCAAAAGAAAAGATTTAATTGGCTTCAAGATTCTCATAGGGAATACAGAGTATCAATATGGGTGATTTACATCATGATTCCTGTAGCATTCGAACAGCTTGCAAACATCCTCTTAGGTAAAATGAGCACTACCTAGCATTTTCATGCCTTCTTTCAGTAGCAGCTCAGGTTACATTTAGATAAGGGTAAAAATAATTTTTAATCAAGCACAGCCCTTTCTTTAACATTGCACTGAGCAGAAGTCACACTTCACAGTGCAGGCGAGATATGTACAATGTATGCTATATTGTGGCAAACACAGATAACTGAGACAATTTCAAGCCAATAGCACTCAAGATGTAGTAAAACATAAGAGTGACAAGATTCGTTTAGCCTTAAAACAAAAGTTCAAAAGATCACTGTTATCAGTAAGTGCATGGGCAAAGAGGGAAAGGAGGAAGAAGGGTTGATGGCACTTAGTAAGAAAAGCTGAAAGAACAATGCTAGTATACTCGAGAATGTATAAAACCATTAACTTAGCATAGAAATAAGAAGTTTTCTAGCTATAAAGCAGTGAAACTGATCAGAGCTGTGGGGTCAATGTATCCATCTGTTCTGCTGAAGCTCAATAAATTTATTATAGGATCACCTAACACAGCTCTGCAAGAATAGCCTCTGGGTCCAATCCCCTGCTGTACCTGTAACACTAAACACAGACTGGGCCAGGGATGACCCTTGGCCCTAAGGCCAACTGGCACATGCTAGTTCATGTTCATTTGCTCCGGTGTCCATCAGCATTACATAGAACTTGGGCCACACAGCTCCACATCTCAAGAGTCCCAGGGCAGCACACATTTATTTTGTATGTTTCAGTTCAAACTGCATAAAGAAATAAGATTACTTTTTTGCAGCCCACCACAATGGTACTTTCACAGCATGAAACAAAGCATGCATTGCCTATCCCCCAGTATGGCCTGAGGGAGGGACGAAGGTTAAGCATACTGTCTCAGCAGACTTTGCACAATAGGACAAGAGTTTTCTTACAGTTCTTTTTCCACCCTGCACTCTGTAGCAGCCTTTGAGGGAGCCACTCAGAGCAACACCTAGGCTTTGCTCTGGAGACAGGCCTTTGGAGTGGTCCAAAAGACACAGAAAGCGAGCTGATGGCTATGCTAAACTAATGCAGCACTTAAAACAGCATTGAGATCAAACCTCATCCCTTTTCTGTAGCAGTGCAGATGCATAAAAGAGCTGTAGAAGACATCTTCCAGGGTAGCGTGGTGGTATATGCACAGTTACCATCTTGACATAATAAACACCACCCAGCTCTAGAGGAGTCAGCGCCAGCGTTCCCATGATAAGCTCATGGAGCACATAGTAAGACTGTACTACCCTTTAACAAGATAGTCAACAAAAATCAAAGCTAAGAAGTTCAATTTACACAAATGCAGTGATAATCAGCAAAAGCAGTAAGGAAAACATGACAGCTTAATGAGATTTTAGCAGCAATTCTATGTGTCGCTGTGAATCTACCACAATTTCTTAAAGCAGATTTTATTTTTTTTATATGTACTTGCCTGGTTTGTCAACTGTGCTATCCAGATTAATAAGAAATTGCTAGATTTTAAATGATCTGTGAATTACAAAATAGGTTGTTAATTCGTCACAGTAGACACTTTGTTACAAAGTGGTGATGTTTCCTAACGAGGTGAAGACTGAGATTCTTTAGGGGAAAGGCACAAGTTGGAGCAGCTCCTAGCAATGAACTCATCTCTCCAGGCTTTCAAAATTGATAAGTACATTTTTTAACCATTGTGTATTAACTTTTTACTTGTTAAAAAAGAAATATTCCACAGCTTTTGGAGCCAGTATTAACTAGAAATAAAATTTTAAAAACCCTCATATTTTATTGTATAAAATATTCCCACAAATCCCATATATATATATATATATTTTTTAGTTTAAATCAATGAGCTTTATATTTGAGAGCCCTATTTCTGCATCTCTCCTGGAAGGTGCTTAAGACCCAAAGACCACACACACTGATCTTAGTTCAGAACTGAGAACTTGCAGCAAGCATAACGACTCAACCAAAATCAATATTCTCTTTTCAGCTTTATCTTTAATCAATGGGGCAATGTTTGTTTCCACACCCTATAAATAAAAAGCAGTCATACCATGGTGAACCATTATAGTATCTTCATTATATGTAAAACCAGAGCTTCTGTGCTTTAGAACAGACGTTAAAATTTGGCAGGAGCTGGTGCTACTGTAAGCACTGCGCCTCTTATGAAAAATAACAAGAAATCTTACCATGTTTAAGAGTTAGTTTTAGAGGTCTGATGATGAATTGGTGAACTGAACAAGGACAAGAACTCAAAAACAAAGCTGATTAATTGAGCTGAGCCACAGCATATAATCTTACATTTCAAAGCTATAGGAAAATGTAATATCACTGTTCAGGAAGAGCTTTGGATTAACACAAGAAATTTCCAAGCTAATGCAAGTCCCATTCATGTATCAGATCAATTTTTAGAAGTTACAAACAAGAACATGGATTTATTGGACAGAAATAACTACTTCATATTGGAGGAGTCAGAATCCTTATAAAATCCAAACTCTGGTGCTCACTGCCCCTCATTCACGCACAGGAAAAATTCTCAAGGGTTCTCATTTGGCTTTGTGGTTCTTCCCCCTTCCACTCCTGAACCCAGGAGGGACTAAGATGAAGCACAAAATGAAGGAACTATCCACTTTTCCTGCTCCCACAGCTCCTGCTGCACTAGTCTCACCCCACAGAGGTTCAGCAAGAGCTGGCGTGGAAGCAAAAACATGAAGAGGGATTGAAGACAGCATGCACCCCCCTATTCTTTATTAGTCCTAACCACAGTTCATCCACAACAGTACCTGCTGAAATCTGCAAGACAACTCTCAATACTATTTCCATGCCCAACAACAGCCAGTCCTCATGGACTGAAGCCTCAAGTCAGCTCAGAGAACCATCCTCTTTGGTTCCTGCAAATCACACATGGCCCAGAGGTCTAACCATGTGGCCTTGTTTGGTAGCTGTGTCAATAATCACAGAGGACCCTTCAAAGCAAGCCTGCAGAAAGCCAGACTAAGCCTGCTGTGAAGACACAATCCAAAGTAGCACTCAGCTTTATTTTACCATGAAACTGTCCTTGCGCCTCATTCATTCTCTCCATTTAGTAGAAGTGAATCAAATCACAGGTTGAAATAAACAGTGAAAGTCACTTCACTTGTAGCAGTGAGGATCTACTGCGACATGAAATGAAAAGAGGCATGGAATGACAGTATGTCATACACTTAAGACAAAATTCAAATCTACAAGTCATAACATGTATTATCTATGCCACAAACACCTTAATACTGGGATTTCCCACAACCACTGCAGTTTACAATTTTAATACTAGCACTTTAGTCTAATTATTTGTTCTGCATATACGTGCTTTCAGTAATTTCCGAGGAGACAAACACACCAAAACAGCAATCATTTGCATGCACTGTGTGCTGATAAGCTGCATTACATTTACCAGACTTCATTTCAAAGTCTAAAATGGCTAACCATGTATAAACATACTTCACACAGAAGCCGGCCCTCCATGCAGACTTTTAATTTACTTTCAGAGTTGTGATTATTATTCTGATGTATCATGTATGAGCACATTAACAAAGATGGATAAGTGGAAGAAAAACAGAATGAAATTCTACCAGATGGTCTTTCATATGCAGGAACATCAGAAGTCTGACTTGTCAGCTACAAGTAGCCTTACCGTAAGGATACTTTGTGTCTAATCTATGTGCTGCTGTTCTTGTCCAAGGTAGTGCATCATCACTGCAGCCATTAGGCATCCCATTGTACCCAATTCCAACAATCTTGTTTTCTGAATTTACAATACAGGCACCAACCTGAAACAAAACAAAACAAAACAAACAAACAAAAAGAGTTATGTAGTACCAACAGCATGCAAAAATCATATATCAAAAAAGATGATGAGAGCTGAAAAGTCAATGCTACAAATTTTAGAGATACGAGCTTTACCTGATAAGGCTACAATAAACAAGGTCACAATGGAACCCAACAGGCAGACCAGGGCAGATGCAAGCCTGCTACCTTCTAGCCACCCAGCCCCCAGCTCAGTCTGCCAGCGCTGTTCCTTGTCTGACTACAAAGTGAACCAAGTTCAGGGAGCAGAACCAGCATGCGACTAACAGTGCTACATACAAGTTTTCTGTCAGTTCAGCTCCCCAGACCAGTTTTTCCAGTGCAATATAAGCAGCAGCAGGAGCTAAAGAAAATGGATGGATGACTGGACAAAAATGTGCTAGTTCTGACCTAGCTAGAGATAAGCATTCACCCTGCATGGCTTGTTTATGCAAACACACACCAAACGATCAGACACTTTAACCCCCTCCTTCTAGTACTTTAATCCAAATCTGCACACAGCCCTTCTTTTAGACTGAGGAAGTGATGAAGAATTTTAAGTTCTGTGTCCATAATTTAGACGTACTGAAACAACAATAGCATTGATTTTAATTTACACAACGTGTTTATTAACCAGCACTGGGTAAACAAGAATTTAGCCCTAAATAAACATGCTTCAGAGAACTGAGAGCCATAACACACAGAAGCCAGCAAGTAACTGAGCAGGCTGTACACATGCATTTTAATCCACTGCTTTGTTGGGATCTTCTTCCTGAAATTTTTCAGGGAAAGGAAACCAACAGCTTGATTGGGTGCTGCAGAACTGCAAGTCTCATGAGAGGTTATCTATCACCTCCAACCAATGTTAAGTGCAAGAGAGGTACACGAGCAAAGTAAAGGATGGAGAGAGAGACAACTTGAGTGCAATAACAAAAAAGAAGGAATTTTTATACTCTTGCAGGTGAGGCAAAGGAACTTCTGAGATGATAAATATATTTTTAAAAAAATTACTACCTACAACTTTCAGTAGTTATATTCTCCTCTAACTGTAACTCTACTTACAAGAAAAAAGAAAAAATGTGTGTGTCATTTTAACCTTCAGATGAAGGGAATATTTACAAAACTCCAACCTACAAATGTACACAGAGAATTATACACGAGGTCAGAGCCAATAAAAGAATTTCTGTAACAAAAAATGCTGATTGTGTTGAAAATTCAAAAGCTATATACTAAAATGACTTTTAATAAGAAAACCCTGAAAATGCTACATGTGCACTTGATGTGATGTGTAAGGCAGATTAGGTTATGTTACTCTTATACATTGACTTCTTACCTGAGAACTTGGGTCCTTGCTTCTCTGCGCTGACAAAAATGCGACTGCCATAAAATATTCAGGCCATTCCAGATAATCCTCTCGTTTTTTACAGGATGCTTCATCGCCAAAACTATAGTTTCCAAAAAAAAAAAAAAAAGGCAGCCATCAGTAAATAACACTTAGGTGAAGTTACTGCTGACTGCATTCTTCCAATGAGAGCAAGTTTAAAGTAATCTAAAGGACTAGAATCTCACAAAGACCACCTTTTATTCGCCAGTAAATCATCAGTGTTACATGCTTATATATGCCACATTTCCTTTCAGAGGAAAGGAAACCCAGCAAGGTTGCAAATTTCTGTTTTAGATAAGAAGGCTGAGCTATTCAGAGCATTGAGCTATAAAGACAGAGCAATTTATCCTCGATAGATAACACCTTGTGTATTTCTAAGATTCAGGTATATCTTGTACTGGCGTTCTTTTCACTCAAACAACACAATCATTTTTGTGATGACTGTGCTAACTGCAAGCCTCTAATCTAAGCTATTTTGTACTTCCGCCTATGACAAGTACTCTCTAGATTTCTATTTGGAGGCTTCCAGCTCTGTCATTCGTTTCTGCCTGTACAATTATTGCTTGAGTCTGCTTCTTTTGACAATGCTTACAGGCAACAGTCTGAGGCTGTAAACCATTCTGATAGTCCAATACTAAGTTTCTCTTGAGGTTATGGGCTTTATGAACGCCCCCTATAAGCTGATGAGTTCAACAACTTTTCCCCTCAGACAGAATGTATAAGTGTGGCATGAAAAGCTGCCTCCTCCCCTACACTGAGCCGTTTGAGAGAAGGGGCACAGGAGAAGTGATGCGTCACTTTCTCTTGCCTCCTTTCGGTTGAAAGACTTCCTGGACAGCACAAAACACAACAGGAAGGTATCTGTGCTTTTCAGAAAAAGAAGGCAAAGACAGACTTTTTTTTTTTCCCCCCAACCTTCTCTCCAGTACCTGAAAGATTTGCAAAAAACATCAAGCCCGAAAGAAAAGTCCCCCAAATCCCACCTAACACTGCTACACTTGAAAATCAAAATGATGTAGTGATTTTAACAGCCCTTCAGCAATCCTCAGAACAGCTGAAATACAAGACAGTCAATAGCTTACCAAAATACAGAAGTGCAGTACTTTTCCTCCTGGATTCCACTTACCAGGAAGACAGCTTAAGACTTTTTAGGGGGAAAAAAAAAAAAAAGAGGAAGAGACTGAGATACCCTTCCAGCAATGTAGAGCCATGCAGAATAGTGCATCAGAGGTAACCGCAAACTGCAAGACATCTCACAGCCACTCTAGTGCCAGTGCCTTCCAAGCACAAACATTAGAAGACAAGCATTTTGTTAATGATTGTTTTTATAACTAAAAACATAAAATAGCATGTGTTAGAGGCTTGCAGTTAGCTTGTCACACCGAGGTTACACTATTTAAGTGAAGAGAATGCCAGTACATACTAAAACTGTACTTTAGAAACCCACAAGGCTCTATTTACCAAAGACAAATTACTGCTTTTGAGTGGTTTATATGTGGCAGCTTAGAAGTAAGCAATTTTGGCTTCTTCTTGGAATGAATGAGGATTATCATTAAGGCCATCATCTCAGAGTAAGATGGGAGAAACATACATTCTCTGTGCAACAAGCAGACCTCTCCTACACTTTGACAACATTATAAACAGTATCAAAAATTGTCTGTTATAAAAGCAAACATAAAAATGAGGGTGCTCAAATTGGCTTGAATTGTCTAAGAAATAGAAACTGTATCCTACTACCAAAGAAGTGTTCAGAGCACAAGAGGTTCACAGCAGAAATTAAAGACTTCCCCTTACGCACTTCTTGCCAAACTGAACATGGACCAGGTTTACTGAAATTAGAAGAAAATGTTTAAACTCATGAGTGATTATTTACAGTGTATCACAAAAGTAGATTTACACACTTCAAAACCCCCACAGACTTTAAAGGAATACTCTACTACATTCCTAAGTGACATTCACAGTGACATCTTCTGTGAGCCCTCAACAAAGATACGTAGCACCCAGTGCAGAACTACACCATGTAACACATTCTGGGAAAAGCTCTCCAGAAAAATCATAGCACTGAGAACTGAGAGATTCCGAGATCTGCTTTTGTTAAATTATTTCCTAGTAAATCTTGTTATTAAAACCAAACCCCCTCCCCCCTCCCCAAAAAAAAAACTGCAAAAGCTACTATTTAGTTTTTCTTATAATACAAAACAGTAAGTAAGCGAAGCCCCTCAGAGTACCAGCTTCACAGCGAGAGGCGCATATCTGAGAAATGAGCAGAAGGCTGACATCAAAGAGAACATGAGAAAAAAACAAAACAAAACAAAAAAAAAAAAACAAAAACAAACCTCACTCAATTACTTCTACTTAACATCACAACGTTTGGCTAGATGATTCCTTCAGCTGATTGCACAGGAACACAAGAGTGTGAAATGGGTATAAAACACTTCATTTCTGATTAAGTAGAAGCCAAGGACTTGGCTAGTGGTAAAGCACAAACAAGAAAATTAAGCATAAAGATTTTAGGCAGCTGATAATTCTCCTCACACTCAATTGTAAGTTCTAGAATTGCATGAAGAATATCTACTCTAAAAAAAATTGCTTAAAAAAGCTAGCTACAAAAAGAGAAAATAACATTTATCCTTGTGATAATTCAAACAAACCAATGAATAAAAGTAATGGGAAGTGAAAGCCATGCAGATAGCATTACTCAAAAAGGAAGGAAAAAAATCCCCAAATTCTACAACAATTCATAATCTGTAGAAAAGTCTATGTAAACAGTATTTCAAAGGCAAACAGAGAGTCTGCAATTAAAGGCCAAGCCTCTGTTCTCAGTTCTTTCCCATTCATCTTCAAGTAAATGATAACACTGTGTCAAAAAAAAGGGAAGAAATTTCATCCAGCTACAGAAAAAAAAAAAAAAAAGAAAAAGAAAAAAGTTTACCTAAACAACAACCAAAAAAAAAAAAAAAAAAAAAAAAAGGTAGAAAATCTTAAAACAGAACACAATGAATTGTAGTGGTCAGTTACACAACAGTGTAGTACAACTGGTGAATAGATAGGTATTGAACTTTCTTTTCCCTTTTCATTTTCCTGCTGCTTTCTATTTCTGATATCACATGCAGTATAGAATCATAGAACTGTCTGAGTTGGAAGGGACCCCTAAAGGCCACCTGGTCCCACCCACTCCCTGCACTGAACAGGGACACCTACAGCTCCATCAGGAGCTCAGAGCCCCTCCAGCCTGACCTTGGCTGTCTCCAGGGATGGGGCATCCACCACCTCTCTGGGCAACCTGTGCCAGTGCCTCACCACCCTTAGTGTAAAACACTTCCTTACGTCATGTTTAAATCTGCTTTCTTTTAGTGTGAAACCATTTCCCCTTGTCCTAGCACAACTGACCCTTCTAAAGTCTGACCACTTCTTTCTTACTCCAGATTTTTCAGAGTTTAGGTTTAGATTTCTTACTTTAGCCTTTAGATACTGAAAGGCCACTCTCAGGTCTCCCCATAGCCTTTCCCTCACCATGCTGCACAGCCCCAGCTCTCTCAGCCTGTCCTTGTAGGGAGGTGTTCCATCCCTTGGGTCATTGTTGCGGCCCTCCTCTGGACCACATCTCTCCTGCACCGAGGATTCCCCATCTGGACACAGTGCTCCAGGTGAGGCCTTCACCACGTTCCAACTACACCGTATTTTCTTTTTCTCCCAGGAGATTTCTACTGCAAATCAACTACCAGTATTTTGTCACTCAACTCACAGCAATTAAGGTAAAAGTCCAAGCGTGTATTTCTTTCTTAAAAAAAGCCCCCTTAGCACCTACGGCCTCATTTCCCAAAAGCCAAACGGGTCACACGCTCCTGCTGACTTTCTGCATTAGCTTCCTTATGCCTCACCGTTTAGCCTGTAATGCTGTGCCAGATGTGCATGCCGCTCCCTAAGGCACTTCACGCTTCCCCCCGCCGAGCTGCTGAGCCCCAGCTGAGCAGTACGCGCGCGAAGGGAACCGCAGAGGGAGCTTGGAAACGGCAACACCCGTGGACCCCCTGAACCCGCGGCCTCTCCGCCCCGTCGTGCCCTCGCTCGCTCAGCGCGGTCCCCGAGGCCCGGCGCAGGGCAGGAGGCGAAGGAGCGTACCCGTTAACGTGGCCGCGCTGATGGCCGCTCATCCTGCCGTTCTCTTTCGCCGTTTGGCGCCAAAGCGGGAAGGGGTGGAGAAAGGGGCGGGAGGGAGGCGGGGAGTCCCGGCGCCATGTAGCTCCGCGCCCCGGGAGCGGGTGAGGGCGGGTGTCCGTGGCCCGGCTATGCAGGAAAAGGGCCTCAAACGTTGGCCTGGCTGCAGCCAAGGGTTGTTTTAATGGAGGGGTGCTGCAGGACCTCAGCACTGATCTCGCTGAGCCGACCCACTCCTGTGTTTCTATAGACCTTGAGGCAGTTCAGTCACGTTAGTGCTATGGTGGTCCTCGGTGTTGCATTCCAGTCGATGTTGCTTCTAACGGTCTGCACAAGCACACATTTTTCTCCCAGCTCGAGCTCTTGAGTTAAATGCTATCTATTAAAGGTCAGTATTATAGCAGACTATCTGAAAGTTTGACTTCGTGGTAGTCTTTATGTTCCCCCATACTGGCCATACGTGTGGCAAACTGCACAAGTGGCCATCTAAAGGACCCCAACCATGTTCACAGCTGTGGTTAAAGCCATCCCAAAAGAAACAGGCAATGGTAATAAAAACAGAAGTACATATTGCTATTGCTTTCATATTTCATAGAGTCTCAGAATCATAGGGGTAAGAAGGGACATAGGGAAGTCACTGAGTGCAGCCCCATGCTAAGGCAGGCTCCCTGCAATAGATGTATTGCACAGGTAGGCATTGGATGGGTCTTGAATATCTCCAGAGAAGGAGACTCCACAGCCCCTCTGGGCAGCCTGATCCAGTACTCTCTCACCATCACTGTAAATAAGTTTTTCCTTATGTCCATATGGAACTATTTGTGTTCCGGTTTGTGCCCACTGCCTCATGTTCTCTTGCTGGGCACTGCTGAAAAGTCTGCCCCATTGACTTGACTCCTGCACTTTATTTATTTGTAAACAGTGATAACAACATACATATAATATGTTTATCAATATATTAAATGCACTGTTTATACCCCCCCTCAGCCTTCTCTTCTCCAGGCTGAACACCTCAGATCTTTCAGACTTTCCTCACACCTGAGATGCCCCAGGGCAGTTTCTCATCATCTCTCTGGCCCTCTCCTGGGCTCTTTCCAGCAGTTCCCTGACTTTCTCGAATTGGGGAGCCCAGAACTGGACATAGTACTCCAGATGTGGACTCAGCAAGACAGAGCAGAATAAAGCTGCTGGCCATGCTCTTTTCAGTACACTCCAGGATACCATTAGCCTTGGCCTCAAGGGCATACTGTTGACTCACAGCCATCCTGTTGTCCACTAGGACACCCACATCCTTCTCTTTAGTTTGCTGCATTGTTTTGTTCTGTTTTGTTTTTTTTTAAAGAACTGACAAACCATGAAGTATAAAAATATTACTTCATTTCACAGAAACTCCTATTTAGTTGTCACAAGAAAAGTTGGCATAAGCAGCTAACATTTTCAGCCCTCAGAGTGAGCCCTAAGAGCCCTATGATCACAACTTCATATGGACAAATGTTCATGAAAAGGAACAATTTAAATGCAAGGAGAAGAAATGAAATTTAATGAAAGTACCATCAGTCAGGAAAACATGAGCCTGAAGGTGAAATGAAAGGCCTGATTATGGTTGATCACGAAGAGAGTTAAAGAGCACTCATTTAATTAATCTGGAGAAAAATTTAGCATAATGCAGTTCAAAAAGTTTGCTACTATCTGTATATGTTTCTGCACTCTTGAAATATGAATTAAAATTAATAGTGCTACAATTACTCATGCTAAATTTATTACTTTACATAATTAAGATTCTGAGGACAAACCATGACAACTAGTAACCTTTCAAAAACAGTGCTTATACGCATATACAGAGAATGAAGGATTTTCTACTCTGTGAAAACTGATGAGGAGTTTATCACATTTTCCAGCTAATATTTATAAAACAGGCAGAACCAGACTGAAAGTAATAGAACCCCTATTTCACAAAAAGAAACCAAAGATTCTTGCTCTCTTCTATTCCTGTCAGAGAAGTAACAAATACAGGCTGGAGAATGACTGCTTTTACTATTAAGCGATGAGGTTTCATTTTGAAGTTTCAACTTCATATTAAAGTATATTACAATTGTATTATTTTTGAAATTCAAAAGTTAAATATTTTTGTAATTTTAGCAAGTAAGTTTTCTTAATAATTTGAACCTACCCTTATCTCCATCTGTTAAGTCCACAAACGTACATTTTTCTCATTTTTCAGGGGTTATTGACTCTTGCTTTCATCTTGTTCTTCCTCAATAAAGCAACCAGATCAACAACATTCAGAATTTTTAATAATACAGCAGCGAGTCATGTCCCGAGAAGGAAAATTTTTTGACTGAATTGAATTTTCAATCAACAGACTCCTGCAGTATTGCTAAATGACACATTTTCTGGAACGCTAACTACATGTTGTTTTTCTTCTGTTCGATTGTCTGTGTGTTTGTTTGGCTTTGTTCTGTATACTGAAAGCTGCTGTTATGCCCAGGTTGTCACTCCTGTTCTGACAATGTCTGTGGAGGTGCTACCTGACATGACAGCCTCTTTCTTCATGCACATATCAGAAGTAGGTTACATGACTACAGGTATCTAAGGAAAATATGCCTGAATTAGATGAAATCTAGAGCAGGACACTGTGCTATAAACATCGGCTTGCAGTGAGGGCAGTTAACTTGATTTCCTACAGGTATGGAGCAGAGTCCCATAGCCTGGTATGTTCAATAAGACTTGTCTTGCTGTCCACCTACCTTGCAGTCCTCTGGAGTCTGGAGCTGCTGTCTGAATTCTCATCTTCACTGTCTTTGTATCACGCTTTGGTCTAGAAGCTTATTTACATTCTTCATCTATCTCAGGACCATTCATATCTTTGTGACAGAACTGGAACACTCAAAGTCCCTGTTAAGAAAGGCATGCACTCAAATAAGCTGAATTTCTTCTAACTTGTATCTGACAATTTAGCCTTGTCCTTAAGCATTTCTCCTCTATCCCCCAAAAGCAGTATGTAATAAGCATGGAGTAACTCAGGTGTTCTTTTTATAGGGTTTTCTTTGCTTTGTCTCTCCTTTCTTAGATGAAAGTCCCAAGCATGGAGGATCATGAACTTGTTGTGCAGGTATCAATAAATAATCTGAGCTGATTACAAATATTTTGGATGCTCTTTTTAATGAGAAGCAACACAAATTTGAAAAACATACTAAATATACAACCATCTGTCAGGATGTTAATATTTTTAGTTCACTGCTTATGAAATTGTTATATTCTACCTTTTGTCAATTTTGATAAAAGAAAACTAAGTTGACTTTGAGAAAATCCAATGTTTTCGACCTTTTCCCCTATTTTTGCTGTTTTCAAACAGACTCTTAACTTTGTTTGCAATCAAGATCTCTCCCCAAATGTAGTACACACCTAAGTTTATTCAGAGAGTAACATCTGACATTGGCCAGCATATGCAGTATACAGTTGGCTGGACAAGCCTGAAATCACTCTCAAAACTTAAGGGAAAAGTAAAAAGAAATTGCTAATGACTTGTTGTTGTTTTTGTCTAACAGAATGAATGTTTCAGGAACTAATTGCTAGATTTAGAGAGAAAGACAAATAAATAAATATGACAATATGTCTCGATATCCGCCTGTTTCTTAGCGTCTGTTTCTTATCTGTCTTTCAGAGAAGCTCTGCCAGATGACACGATAAACTTCACAGTTAGAGAAGAGGATTCACTTTTAGGCAAATATAATTGTCCAAATATTTTTCCATATAGGAATTTCTGCTTAAGTTAAACTTTTCCTTCTGTACTTGCTCAGACACTAAGAACCTATTCAATCCCAGTGCAACCACTCATATATGCTGAAATTCACAATTTCTATAGTTAATTTAATCAAGATTATGAATTTATGACTTGCTGATCAATTGATCAATTTTTGCAATATAAAGCTTTGTTCTGTGAACAAACTCCTATCAATGCAACCCCCTTGCTGGAAGACCTAAACTGGGTTAGCAGCAGCCTGTTAGAAAACCAGACCATGAATAGACTACAAAAACCTGCTGTACAACATATCATTTTGTATGAACTGCATAAGCATTTCAGAATTGCTACAGGAGTTCTAAATTTAGCATATAAAATTGCACTCTAAATAATGTTGGAATTACTTAAAAATAACAACTAATAGCAGCTTAATAGCAGCTATTGGTCAAAACCAAGTAGGATGAGGATGGTATCATGATAATTTTGGAGCAGGTGAAAGTCCATTGCAAACCCACTATTTGCAAACTTGGGTGCTAAAATTGGGAACATCAAAGTCTTGTGTTTAGCCTACATCTTTACAGATTTGTAAACATTGCCAAAAAAAACCCTCTTATTGCAGTCAATAAGACTGTGCATGATGAGCATCTCTGACAGAATCCATCCAATACTAAAGTATTTTGATGATTCCTAAGGCCTAATGGAAATGTCAGACCTGCTGGCTTGTGTATTACCTTGCCTAAGATAGAGTGCGAGATACAAGTTTTTTTTCTTCCAGTCCAAGTCTTACACTATTTTGAATATCACATTCTACATCTTCTAGATTCAAATTTTCTGCAATTTACCAACTCCCTAAATCCAGCTTCTAACCCTGGTGATAGCAGCTAAGAGTCTTCTCTGAGATCCTTTATTTGCATTTATTTGCACTAGAATCACAAATGAGCATATAATAAAAGTCTTCTTATAATACAACAGTCTTCAATTCTGTTTTTAACATTACAGCTATTTTTCATCTCACCTAAAATTTTTAAGAATGTGGCATTCTTCCTTATTATGTCTGTCTGCTTGTTTTATTCATGCTGACCTTTCTAATACAGGCAAATAGTATCTTTTTGTTGTCTTGATCCCCTCATCATTACTTTGATAGCAGTATATTCTCCAGCTAGATTTAGTCTTTCTGTATGTTATTTGATGATGTTTTCTCTTTTCTTTTTTTTTCCTAAAATGTTTTTATCTGTATCTCTAACCAGACCTCTACTTCTTTAAGTTCCTTGTTCCATTCATACCTGCCCTTGCAAGCCAAATTCTCTGTTTTATGCAATCCAGTACAATTGACAGAACAGAGACAAGTGCTAGAGAAACAGACAATATTGTATGTGATCCACTCTCATATCTCTTTCAAGAATAAATCCTAAATAATCTTGCTAAGTCATCCTTAAGAAAGTAAATTGAGACAAAGCCTCAGATGGCAAGACTTTTGGCAACCTTGTGTTTTCGTCCAAAAGATAAATGACCGTCTGTGCCCACCCACACAGGTCATAGTCACCATTATTCCCTAATTGGAAGTGAGAAATTCATTTTCTGCTTTTAATGTCACATTTCACTTTCTTGGCATTCTGCTTCTGTACTTAGCACCTGCCTACATTCTTAACAGCCTTCTATTTCTTCTGTTAGCTTCCTCTTACTCCTCAAGGCTATTTTTGATATCTAAGAAGGTTATTTTCAACTTCCATACTTATCACTTTACCGTGATTTTCCTGTCACACTCGTTGGCTGTTTATGTTAATTCCACAACATTTGCCTAAGTGCCAAAATCTCTTACAGTGCATCAGTTTGTAATAACACTAACTGGACAATAACATGAGCTGCACTCACTACAGCAGACATTCAGAAGAAAGAAGCCTTTACTCAGCTGTTACATACAGATAATCTTGAGCATGTGTATTCCTTCATATCTGGGAAATGGTTTGCTCTTTATAGTCTTTTTAATTTTTTTTCTCCTTGATACAAATTCTTTTTATGCTTATCTCCTCTTACCTCAGTGCTTTTTCTCTCTACTTTTCTTCCTGTTCCTTTTATTTTTTTCTTTGTTTATGATAAGCTTTAGATTTATTCTATGGAGAATTCCCCTATTTTTATGTATAATTTCCTGTCATTTATCTTATCTGTATCTTTAGATTTCATTATTACTGTGTGGTAATACTTCAATCCTCACATAAATGCTGCTATACAGAATCGTTTTCTTACATATTCATATGGGCTTTAGCATGAATAGTTTTAAGTAAACATGCTAAATCTTTTCTGTAATAAGAGACAAGTTACCCTGTCAGCTATCTTATGGATTAGGGTTAAAAAAAAGAAAAAAACGAAACAGGCAAGTATTTCAGAATTCTTAGATAACCACCTTGGGCAGCAAAATTAAACTAAGAAAAAAAAAGAACTGTTGCAATCGCCCTGTTTTCACTCTGTCCCGCACTTAACACAGTGAGATCCCTTTGACCTATTTGCCTTCCACGTTTGCCAATATTCCCATTTCCCCCAGTACCCATTAGCACCAGAAGCACTTCCCATCTTCAGTCGTAACTGCTCCTTTCCTAGGACACAGCAGCAAAGTAGACTGCAAAGCAGAAGGCAGAGAGCCTTCATTTTGTGACAACCGTTAGCTTGGCAGCAAGGCAGAGGGAGCTCAGGTGCCACTATCATATTATACGTGAGTTCTTTTCATGTCTTCCTCCTCAAGCTGCAGCTGTTTCCTAAGCTCATTGGACAAATTACGGAACAGCTAACAGCCACACTGTTTTAACTTATCAATAATGAAAAGTGAGCTGGAGCTGTCAGGAAATGCATTTGACATCTCAGCTCCAAAGAACAGGAACCCTAGGCTCCCTGTATAGATACAAGGGGAAATATAATCATTAGTAAACTTAATTTATTTTTTAGGCAGAGTTGGCAGTGTGATTCCTTCTCAAGATTTTCTGGCATTTTCCCATTTTGTTATTCTGCTTTTAGGTGCCTGTATCAGACAAATATGATTTGTTCAGGCTGAAATAGCCCAATGCAGGTATTTGCCTCTACTAATATAATCTTTTATCTTTCAGGTTGTGTTCAAATATTTTTGAAAAAATATTGTGCTTTTAAAATCATTATAAATAAAACCATATTCACAGTAGGAAGGCATTGACTCACACAGCAAGAACAGTATATGGTAAATGAGGAGTTCTAACATGGACCCACAGCAGCTTTGTGCTATCTAAAAACAGAAGGTTAGGTGAAGCAGACAAAGAGCAGGATGGCAACACTGAGGAAGGAATCATTACTGAACTCAAAGGTGGATGGGCTATAGCTTGTGGAAGGGGAAGACGGCGTTAGTTAGATATTTTCAATTCTTATTTTTCAGAATACAAGAGAGTACTCCTAGAGCTCAAAGTACTGAAGAATAATTGCCTTTTGAGGCCAGCCTTCACAGCAGCCTGGGGAGAAAAAGAAATTAAAATAACAGATGTACCTTGTCCTCAAAACAGAGGAAGCAAAGGGGTTGAAATGTGATATTCTTCATCTACATGGAAGTAAACTAAGAGATTTCTTATTACTTCTACAGAAATCCATTGAGTTCTATAGGGACAGTATCAAGAAGAACTTTCAATCTCTCCACTGGTATATCTGCCCCATTTTGACAGAATACGAATATTTTATGCCAACAAAATAAAAACACAGGCCAAAAACCTAAGAATTTTAGGATCTTTTTGAAAACTGTTTACTCATTTGTGTACGCCTTGCAAAGAGCCTGATAATTTGACTTCTAACAGTTTTTTAAAGGATTAGAGAACAGAGGGTTCTCTTTGGGCAACATTGTGTGCTTTATTTTATTTGTGGGTTTTGCATTAGAAAATCCTTCAAGATTTTGAACAGCGCTTCAGATGATCTGCAGGACAAGAGCCTGAAATTAGCTAGCACAACGGAATCAATATCGAGCAATATTTTCTTTCTGCAAGAAATTCAGTCTGACAGAAAAGAGTAAAAGCAGCATAAGGAAGCCAAGACTGGCTAAAAAGCCGGGCACAGAAATTCCCTGTAAAGCAGTACAAATTAGTTGATGTCACCAGAGCAAGAAAACCATAGTGACAGAATAAAATGTTATCCAGGTTCCAGAATACTT